CGATAGAAAGATGGACATTTCGTTTGTTTTTTTATTCATTTATTTTTGTCAAATAAATATTTATTTTCAAAATATTTCTAAGCCAAGAGTTTTAAAAATACTTTATATTATGTCATCCGAATTTCTCTATAGAAAATATATAGTTGTAAATTTTTGACAATGATTTTCCATCGAGCGCGTGCTCTACGGATGAAAAGTTATCAATCGTCCCTTCGCTCGCTCGTATTTCAAAAATACTTCGGAATTCGCGCGAGCTGTTTCGACTGCAGTTTATAGCAAACGCGTCGCTTTGAAAGTAAAATTCGGCAGATGGGAGCCGTAAGTCTTTTATGGCATATATTGCGCGAGTCAAGGAGAGTTTCCACCCTGCCGCCCGTCCTCTCTCGATCTCCACAACCGACGTCGTTTCCTCGGAAAATCAGAAAAAGATTACTTATGCTATCCTTAGCTTGGAGTGCACTCTCAGCAGGAGAGTACCCGGGAGTCACAATTCCGAAAGACTAAGAGGATGTATGCTCTATATATAAGGAACATGGGAGATCGGATTGCTACTTTGACACGTGAGCGACCCTTTTGATTTAGAATTATTTCTTTCCATTGCTCCGCTCGTATACTTTTTATTATCTTACGGAAGATTTCTTCACCTATAACCTTTTACTGCATCCCGGAATACTCGATGCGTAATGCACATGAGGAAGGTCATAAATGAGAATCTGTTCATATACCTTTTCATATTTCTCAGCTTTATATATCGTAAAATATTAAAATATCAAGCTATAAATATTAAGATATTTTGAGATATATAAAGATTTGAGAAAAAGTATGATTATATCAAGTCTCGTGCAAATTAGAAATATTGCAACTTCAAGCATTACGATATTCTTAAAAAAGGATGCAGGCGAGGAAGGATAAGTCGACGATTCTCTTTTGACTTTGTAAGGATAAGTGTTCTTTGCCTCGCGATGCTTTTAATAAAGTGATAGGTTTTAACAAAATGATATTGCAATTTACAGAAATTAAATATGTATAATAATGAAAAATTTTCATTTTAAATCTTTAAGAGTATTATTGATTTTTTTCATAAATTTTCCCGAAACGTTACGACGATACTTTCTTCTTACTTTTTACTATACTATAGAGAACTTTTTAGAAAGAAAAAAAGAGCGAATGGTAGTTTCGTTGATGAAAATTAGTTGATGATTTTATGGCTACTTTCCAACCGCTGTTGAGTTTCTTAGCGTGCTTGAAAGAATTAGAAAAATTCTTCCTTAACAGGACCAACTTCCATTTTAATCTAAATTTATTGCACGCTAATAACTATATTTTTTTAGAAAATATATCTTATCGTAAGAGGGATTTTGTATGCGATAAATTTAAGAGAAGAAATCCGATTGGACGGAAATCTCGAAACTCGGGACTTTAAGTTAAATATATTTTTTTAAGCTTAATATTCGAACTTTTTCGTTTAAAATCCATATTTCCATATATGCACGTTGTATATGCATATATTTCCCTCGTCTTTTCCCAAAACTTTTATTCTCTCTGATATCTTTTTTCAACGAGAGATGAAATCGATTGTCCGATATCTTCTTTAAATCTCCCTTGTATTTTTTTTTTATTGAGAACTTGGACAATAATTCGAACAGTTTAAATCCGGAAAAAGAAGAAGATTCTGTAGATCTTCTTTTACTTATTCTATGAAATTGTTTTCGGTGTTTGCGAAAAATCTTCAAGAAAGTGGAAGGGCTTAAAGACATGAATGCATGATTATCTTAGTGTTTCTTTTTTCATACAAACTTTATTATTTTCTATACCTCTTGTATCTTACTGTATTCTTGCTTTCGAGATTTCTTTTTCTTCCACCAATTGCGCGAAGTATACACGCTTCAATGTAATGCAATATCTAGTACTAATTTACTATTATGCAATATCTAGTACTAATTTACTATTATGTTTATAAAAAATATTCAATCACGTTATTGCATTTGCATCGAGGACAATCCGATAATGTGTATCAAGGATGTCATTTTCTGGATAACATCTCGACGCGAAGCGAGAATCATCGGAAAAATTTACGGATAACGCACGTGCAAGAGGGCTGCATGAATTGCGGTAATTTCTACTTCTCCGAGCTATCGATTCCTGCAACTCATTGCACGTGCAACCGCAATCTTACAGTCTTCGAGGAATTACAATTGCGCAGTCCGCAATTCTTACGCGGTGTGAGACTGGTCCAACCGACTTCCCAATCCGCTTTCCTCGTGCTTTACGTGCTTTACATGCGTGACCGCCACGCGGATATATCCTTCGTGTCGTAAAAAAAAGATTCGCATCGAAAGCAACCACCGTGAAACGGCCGTACAATAGATCTCTATCGCATCCGGTCGGAAGCGGACGTCGAGGCCGAAACAAGAGCGTCGACCGATGACGATATTCGAGCGAGTTGTATCGTACGTAACACGTTATGTCAATCTTGTCGTTTAGATACGCCTTATCAGTTCGGTCGCGATTCTAAATGAACGAAATACCAATTAAAGTTTTAATCGTCGAATAAATATGCCACGATTAAAAAATTCTCCACGCGAAAATAATCTGTATTTAAGTAATGTTTATAACTTTGTTATTAATTTTCTCTCTTTTTAAGATTTAAGATAAAAAATTGTTTAGCTTTTCTCGGATTTGCTTCTACTTCTTTCGAAAGTTTCAATTTTATCGCGAATATATTTTCGCATTTTAATCGGAGAATGCGCGGTAAACGTGCCCAAGTTTTCGTGCTTTGGTAGAATTCAGAACTTCAGACGATGGACACTTAGGTGTACCTTGACCTCAGCCTTGAAGCCGCGGAATGCACAAGAGTGGCTCGCCTCGCAATGTGACGTTCCCGCTTTATACGCTGCGCGACCACGTGCAAGTTGGTCGTTGCACTCTCCTCTTCTTTCTTTCGTCTTCTCTGTCGCTTCGAGAGTCTTGTATCTTCGTCGCACGCTCAATCCGATACTCTCGTAGATTCTTGTAGAGCTTCTTCCTATCTCCTCGATCGACGGATGTAGTCCCTTGTGAAAAGCTTTCAGATTAATTGGCCGAAACGAAGATTTGATTCGGTACACGAGCATCATATTTATTCGAGCGATTTCTCGAGTGCATAAAGGATTTTAATTAGAAATCTTTTTTAGCTACAAGAATGTATCGCGCGATGTGAAATGAAAGTTGGAGGATATTATTTGAGCAGCACGCGCGATTAATGCCCCGGATGGAGAGATCTCCTTGGCAATATGAGATAGCTCGAGGTAGCGCATTTAATCGAGACGGCGTTTTCTTCGTCTCGGTGAGAGAAGAATGCGTCCCTCCCCCCTCCTCTCTCTCTCGGGACACATAGACTAGTCGGCTATTCGTTTCTTCTCTCGACGTAAGAAGTATGGGGAAGGAGTATAAGTAGTAAAAGAAACCGGCTGCCCTTGTCCTTGCTTAACCACGCTTGGCATTCAGACATTCTCTCGGCGAGCGACTCTTCTGTGACGCTTCAGCGATTTACTCCGTACTTTCTCTACGAGTGAGAAAGAAAATTACGCGATTCGAAAACATACGAAAAATATGTGATGCTTTTGGAAATGTGGAATAAAAATTGCGATGAATTATCGGCGCGATCAAACGATTGATTTATGTGACAGGAATACATCGTGCAACCTCACTTTTGGAGTTTCAGTGAACTGAAACTTTGACATGTTGCGATAAATCCTATGAATCGCTATGTATGTGCATTCATTATAAAAATTCCGATCGTATATGTACGAGGATCTGGGTCATTTTTCTACACATTTGCAAAACATTTGGAAAAATTTGTTCGAATAGAAAATATGTAGAAATGTTTCTGCATTGAATAAATGTTTTGAATAAATAATCAATTCATTTATTGCTATATTCATTTCTTGCTCTCCACACGTATCAATAAACGATACAGAATAAACGATATAGAAAATACTGAATGGAATTTATTTCAAAATTTTTATACATTTATTCCGCTTTTATCTCTTCTACCAGTAACATGTGTATCCTAAAAATCAAAAATTATATCATAACATTATCATCACGTTTCATACATTTTAATAATATTTTCCGGTCCATGAATCTCTGATAATTATATCTCGGACGAGGACTCGGATGTCATCAGCAAACAGGTACCGAAACAGCGCGTGCGGAGTAATAAAACAATTTCATAGTAATCCAAAGTTGCCGAATGGACGATGCCTGTGATTCCCTGTCTCTCCGTATCTCCGAATTCAACAGGTTGCAGCTGGTGACTGGAGAAGCCGCCTCCTCCTCGTTCTTCTTTTGCTCGCTTCATTCCTTCCTTCCTTCCTTCCTGCTTGCCTCCATTCCTTCCTTCGTTACTTTTTCTCATTTTCAATTAACTAAACGCGATAAACCTATTCTTCTGCAGTTTCTCTCATGTCGTAGGCAATACGCATGCTAATTACGCCTATGCAATCGCTTATCACTCGTCGCACGCATTTGTTTGCGAAAGCGAGATTGTAAAACGCGCCGAATAATGTCTGTTGTAAATTTACGACGTCCGACAATGTTTTACGATTTCTCCTCGTGAAGAATTAGACTCGTGATTATTATCGCGGCTCTGGGTAAGTTTCTTGCGAACAATTCACGGTCACGGAATCGGCCGGAAAAGGAATAAAAGTAGAGAAGAATGAAGAATCGGGTTGCATTTCCTGCCGACTTGCAACGGACCGTGATGGTCAGAGCTTAAGTCCGCCGCGCGGTTCTTGATCCCTTTAATTCTCTCCTTTTATTTTTATCACGACTTTATTCACTTAGCTCTCTCAGAGAGTATCTTTTGTGCGATTATTGAGACGATTTTTATTGGGCTCGATTTTAAAACAATTTCAGGGACGAATCAAACCGATATCGAAATATATTTTTACACTAAAGTGTAATCAAGTACTAAGATGTTATTATATAGCAGTAACTCCTTATCTTTCTCTTTGCAGGTAAGAATTCCAGACCTTTCGAATTTTCGTCCGTTCCCTACAGCACCGTTTCCGGTGGTAAGTTTGACTCACATCATATACACGCTCATGCAATCTTGAAAAATATATTAAGATATTATATAAGTAAAATCGCACATATATTATATAAGAATCACGCACTCACGTTTAGATGTTTTGAATTACTCTGCTTATCACATACACAATTGCGAATTATGGTTTGGAGAAAGTTCCTTAAAATTTGAATTGATCCGGCCAATTACGAGCCGCGGCCGGAAAGTCCTTAAGTCGAATCGAGAGCGTTATCGAGCTATGCAAATTTTATCGCGCGCTTCCATTTCTCGTACGGCGAAGGCGAAACAAATGTCGCGCCGTTACGTGCTTCCGTTCGACTACGTGACCATCTTATTGCTGCGTTACGACATTTATTTTATTGTTCTTTCACATGCGCGCCGGCTCTCGAGCGTGCGCTCGTAACACCGTGGCCGAATAAGTAGTGCTTCCGCGATCGTAAAGGTACGGGGGAATAGGTTGAGCGAAGGCCATCGACAACGGCGATAACTGTAATCTCGCCCCCCTCTCTCTACCAAACCTTTTATTTCTATTTACAGTATTTATTGACAGATAATATCGTTATCGAGGCGCGTCTGCCTACCTGCTTATGCACTACGTTGTCGACTTTAATTTAACGTACTTGACGTAAAAACACAAATTTTTAATAATTATAAATTTTTATAATAATTTTATAATAAATACCAAACTAAAAAAAACTATAAATTTGTATAATAATTTTAATAATGAATATCGTATTTATAACAATCGCGATATATAGACAATTGGGCGTCGGAAATTTTTCGAGATCAGCGCTCGAGATTCTTCCCTCGATGTTTAATGCCTTCGATATTTTTCTGCTCGATTTTGTATGGCTTGTGGAAAGATGCCAAGATGCACGGCGAGTTATGCGAAGAATTGGCGAGCCACGAGAGAGGCAGCGAGCTGACGGATAATTGCTCACGATCTCCGGATCGCGCGAGGGTCGTCGTTGCAATTTAAACGGATTTATGGTACTCTCGGTACCTTTAACTTAGCCGTTCCCTTAGGCATCGAATTTTCGTAACCACTTGCTTGTGTGCGAGCTGCTACTGCAGTAGACGCTCACACGAACTTTTCTGTCACGGTCGATCGTGTAGCTTCACGCTTTGGTAGATCGAAGGAGGCCTCGCTAAGGGGGAAAGAGAGGGAGTCGGAAAATTTTCGGGCCGTTTATCACGAGTCTTCGGATGCTCCACCATTTTCGATATTTATATTGTAGGCAGTCCGACCCGCACGAAGTTAAACTGCATTTGGACGGCACGCGAGAAGTGTTTTACCGATTCCAAGTCTTCCCAAAAGAGCGATATCGCGCAAAGCTAAGAAGATAACGATCACGAGAACTTGAATGACTCGATCTTCCTTCCCCTAAGTGAGATTTCAATAGTTAATCGTTAAACGTGTCTCAAGTACGTCTGGCACGATCTATGTTTCCTGCAAGTCGGATTAACCGTTCGAAAAGATAGGCTATTCTCTTCCAACTTGATTATTTTAGAGACGTTCTAAACTAGCGTAAATTCGAAAAGCGATGGCATTGATTATTAATTTAAATCAATCAGTTTGCTCGCTTAATTCTTCTTAATTCTTATCGTAAACGTTTCAGAGCAATCGTATCATCGTAAACATTTCCTTGTCGCGAAAACTACGGTTGCTGCGTGTCGGAATTTCATACTTGCCAACTTCTAATCACTTTAACGACGTTAAATTTGAAATCGGAGAACTATTAAGAGCAGCAACTGCCAGATCCGGGCGCCGCTTTAGTAGAATAAAGCGCTCGCTCTCCGCTAGTTTCAGCTTCGTCGGGAAAGGAGCAACTCGAAGACGGGTCATTGTTCTGCATTCGATAATCGTCTTCGGAGTGCCGTCGAAGCTTCGTGTTTACCCATGCTTCGAAAGTCCGTAGCGATCTTTTCTTAGTAGACTAAAGCGAAGTCTGTTAGAGCGGCACTAATCTGACGGCGATGGAGAAGCGAAGTTTCCGAGTCTCATTCAACTTGACTCGCAACTCTTCGGCTTACTCGTCAAAATTCCAAGCATCACTTTCATCAGGCACGGTTATTTCAATCTATCAATATCGACAATACTACCTGATTGCGAACTTGATATACAGACCGGGGCAACAATATCTCGCCGCCATCGATTTTTCTTCCTCATCGACAATCTTCTTACTTTGTCTAACAATTTCAAGCGAAATTTTGACGTGCGATATAAATTGTTGAGACACAACAATAATGATTTATCTAATATTTACGAAATGCATAAATATTAGCTATAAACGTTCGTCGACTTGTGCTGGATATCCGTCTATTATCGTGACATAACGTCGACAGATAAATCTCTCGGTCCTCTCTCGGCGGCTCTTATAGTTTCTGCTCCTTTCTCGTGAGATTTCGAGCGCGAACGTCGCCGACGGGACGCAAACAGTTTCCGCTTCTCCGTGAGAAATTCGCGGCATTATCATGAGCAAATTTGACTTTCCGCTCTTCCGCCCCCGAAGATTCGCCGCCCCTCGAGGGGCTCTCACGCCCGCATAACCGACGGCGCGCGGCGGGTGGTCTCCGGAGAGACCAAACCGCCACGTGCATCCTGCTTTTCAGCATCCGCTCGGTAACCCGCCGCGAGATCGACTATGCATTAGACGAATTCTGGCGGTCTCCGCGTCTGAATCCCGAGAATTCCGTGCGACGGATGAACGTTTGATACTGGATTAGCTCCGCCGAAAGTCTCGGTCGCCAACTATTTACAACTGTTTCAAAATCGACGAGACCAAACGTTTTTTCGACGGTTAAGGCAATCGTCTTAAAACGCGTACCGCGAAGCTTGCGTTTTGATAAATTTTTTGATAAATTTTTCGTCGACATTTTCGTGACGCGCGGACTATCGAGGAAAAATCCCTGACTTTTCCGACAGTCAATTTTTATCATTCATCACATGCATGAGATATGGTAAACCGTGTTCCTATTCAGCCGAAGCTATTCGGCGCATATTCAACGCGTCATACCTTTCGTTTCGTCCACCGGAAGACAAGCGCAATCTCTCGTAGTCGATTCAACGAAGGGAGAGAAGGGAGGAGTTGCCTCTCTTCGGTGCTTTTATTCGCGCGTTCCAAGAGATGCCAAAGCTTTTATTTTCTCTCTTTCTCTCCTTCCTTCTCTCCTCTCTCTCGATACCTTGCATGTCGCGAAAGTCGAGGAAATTCACGCTCGAAGGTGCATCCTCGAACAGAGTTTCCCGGAGAACGTCTCCGCCTTTCGTTTCTCGCGCCCTCCACCTCCCCGAGCGAGCCCGGAGTAGATCGGGGGTTGGAAATTTACGCGCCACGGATTTCGCTCCTCGTTTGCCCTTCGGTCCTACGGAAGTCGAAGGTCGCTCGAGCGTACGGGGCGGATCGAGATATCTCGATTAGATATCTCGACCTCCGTTATTCCGGTCGAACGGAAAGCGAATCTTCTTTCCAGAGATCTATCTGTCGCCTTGATAACGTCCTCCTTTTTACGTGGCATCTCCCCACGTCGAACTTTTTCGTCTATACTTTTATAATCTTATTTATGAAATATCGAGTCTTTTCTTTATATCGCGTTATATCTCACTGCTTTATAATTTTCTTGTTAAAAAGGAAAAAAGATTCTTGTTTTTAATTAAATTTTTCATGAATTTTTGTTCATATGGGGCGTGCTAAAAAATTCCCATAATCAGCTGATAAAGAAGAAGAAATCGATCTTCTGCACACAAATGACAAATGAATAATAATTTAAATAAAGTTGTTTTTTTCTAATTATTCATTGATCTTTCATAAATTAAAACATTATTATTATCTAAGGTCTTAATAGACATTAATAAAACATAGAAAAAATTAAAGCATTTTAATGCCGAAATAAAAATATATTGATAGATTTTTTGGAAATATAATATTCTTTGAAAATGAAGTAAAAAAAATATATACTGAAGAAATAAAGCTATTTAGACACAATTGTACGCACACAAAGTTACGAAAACTTACTCTCATTAAAAAGTTCATTCATGAATATTCTCGTATAATTTTTGATATTTTTAAATCGTCAAAAATATAGCTGACTTTCCATTTACATTGTAATAAAAACATATCCCGCAATAGTGTTATCAGTGTGAGATTCCACAATGTCACTTAAATTATAAAAGATTTCTCGTACATCAAAATGTGTTCCTAAAGTTATCTTAAATATATATAAAAAAGAGAAAATTTCGAGATTGAGTTAAAATTTGCTTCAATTACGTTTGATCGAGTGGCACTTTCGCCCGTCTCATTCTCGATTCGTTTCTCCCTTTCGGAGTATCACGTAGAATCATCCCACTCAAACCCCTCTCCTCTCCCCGCGAGACATATCCGACGTAATTTCGAGAATGGAACGCGTTGTTAAAAATTAAACGGATGACGTGGGATTGCGCACGTTTGCCGGACGAACACCGAGATCTGGAGAAAAAGAGAGGGGGAGAGAGAGAGAGAGAAATAGACGCGAAGCTCCATCGCGTGGTTTAAGGGTCGGGGATTGATCGTGCAAACGCGATTAGGCTTCCTAGGTCCCACTGTCCATTCTCCAGGCCTATCCGGCTGGAAGTGATTCCGGTCCGAATGGGGCAACATGAAATGCCACGTCTCTCGGGGATAAACCCTCCAATGACGTGGTCATGCCGTACCATCCACTCTTCTCTCTTCTCTCTTACCCTCGCGCTTTTCTCTTCCTCCCCCGTCCTCTTGTTTTCCCTTGACTCGGCTACTGTGGAATTTCAAGAATCATCGTGAAACGTGCACGGAAGTCCGAAGTGGTTCGGCAACGAATGCTCCTTCCCGGGGCGGCACAAAAATAGGATCAAGATCCTTAATCGTTGTCGAGAAAATTCCCTTTTCTAGGAAATAACGCGCGGATTGTCCCGACGCGTTAATTAAAGATTATGATTCGCAGTTGATCGGGATGCTCTCGACATTGGAGGAT